TAAGAAGGTAAATTCTGAGTGGTTCTTTTTTTTTAAATGTTTGTAACAATAAGAGAAGTTTGATAGTAGAAACAATTGCCAAGGAAGATGGTAGATATCCCTTCAGGATGTGTTTAAGCAGAGACCAGACTACTATCTATCATAGATGATTAAATTTTGATCCCTGCAAAGAATCTTTCTGATTCTGTCATTCTATAATCACAGTGACTGAGCCCACTTGAAATATAAAATAATAACACCTTTGCTGCCCTCTTCTGTGCCTGGAGACAGCAGCTGTTTTGGAACTAATTTCATAGGATCAATTAGCTTTGTTGGAAATGCAAGGGATTTCTTCCCATGAAATCACTGCTTTATTTATAAATATATATGCAGGGGAGGAACTGTATGGGAATACAAAGAAATATAGGTTTAATGGAACCTCTGCTCCAAACTTGCTCTAGTGATGAAGTTCATAGCCAATCATTCATTTTTTAATTTATTTCGCAAATGAGTCTATGGCTGCACACCAGATGACGGGCAATCAAAACTGATTGAAGGGATTCTGTGAGGACAAAATTCTCAAGTTAATCAACCTAGGCTGCTGCCTGTTATTTAGAGAGAGATTGCACAGCCCCATCTTTAAAGGAAAAACACTGGCTGCCTAGCGAAGTGCACTATATTTTGAATTATGAAGGATATTGTAGCTTTCATGCAAATCATTACGGCTGTTATAAATGAACTTCTAACTAGGCTTCTACTTCTTAAGAAAACAGTCAGAGCATGCTCCGCAATTGGAGAGATAAAATATTTCATATTTCAATTACCTTGTTCAAATCAAAACTCTTCTTTAATTTTCTCAAAATCAAAATGCCAAAAATGGATAGACAAGTACAGATAGTCTTTGACTTACAACCGCAATAGAGCCCAAATTTTCCATTGCTAAGCAAGGTAGTTTTGTCCCAGCTTATGACCTTTTATGACCTTTTGCCACAGTTCTTGTGAATCACACAGTCATTAAGTAAATCCAGCTTCCCCCATTGATTTTGCACCTTGGATGCTGGCTGGGCAAGTTACAAATGGTGATCACATGACCCTGGGACAACACAATTGTCATAAATACATGATCATGTGACCATAGGGATACTGCAACAGTTGTAAGTGTGAAAACCGCTCATAAGTCATTTTCTTCAATGCCATTGTAACGATAAATGATCAGTTAAATAAAGGGGTGTCAGTTGAGGACTATCTGCATGCTACAAGTATAACTCCAGTGACTCTCTTGCAACTGAATGAGGATATGTATAGCCTTTTGAAGACTTGGAAATGGGTAAATTTGAAGTAGTTGATGGAGCCAGAAAAAACATGCACACTGGTTTTATTTAAATTTAAATATAGGTGTCCCCTGTATTTTGGCACATTAAACATTTTACTACAATAGCACATTTTAGAGCATCTATGAAGATATTGTTTTTAAAACTGCACTTTGACTATATTTATGTAGTAACTGCACTTTTCCTTCCCACCCTCTTACATTCTATGGAGTTTGAGCGCTCCTGAGTTTCTTCCCTACATTTCCTTTGTTTTCCAGGGTTCAGCTTCACATAGTTTCTCCAAGGTCATTTCTAAAACCCTCTGCAATCTGCAGTCCCTGTTCAAAATATAGAAGCGTTTATACAAGTGCTTTCCCTATCTCCCACTTGTTTTAACTTCCCCTAATAATTCATTGTAGCATTTCACATTAATTCAACATGAATAAAGAGAAAAAAACAATGAACACTGGCCTTACTGCAATGCCAAGGATAAGTGAAACTGAGTTTCAGTTACATCACTGATTTATACACTGCATTTTAAATAGATTGAAATCGTGAGTATTATGCTGAGGAAGGTTCCCCACTCATGTTTACCAAATAAAAATAACTATAAAAGATAACAGTTGCCATTGGATAAGAAAGTGGATTATAGGAGAATGGATTCTTTTCTTTCCAGTCCTATATGAATAAATGACTCTCTTTTCCTAAGGGCTTAAAGGGTGTTCATCCATGCATGTGGAACTTATTCTTATTTTACATGGTATATAGTTTTTGGCTTCCCTCAAAAGATGTTTCTGATTGCCCTTCAAAACTGATTGGAAATAAGGTAAGAACTTCCTTGAATAAAACTCAGCTCCTGGTGATCCTACAGACATGTCTGTATAAATTGCTTCACAACAATAAAAATATGGTTTGCCATTCTTTAAGGGTGAGTGTTGACTTCCCAACCTACCCAACAGCCTAGAGCAGGAGTGTCAAACTCACAACGTCACGTGACGTGTCGCGACGTATCGCGACTTTTTTTCCATTGCCGGCAATGGGGTGGGCACAGTTTCGGCATGACGCATCCAAACTGCGGGCTGGCAGTTTGACACCCCTGACCTAGAGCTTTTCTAATCAAATGACCTCCCAACTAAGTCCTAATCTTGGTTTTTTTCTAGTATCAACCAAAGATTGCTATGTGCTGCCACCTGCTGTGATTCTTGGATATTGCATCTAATAAATGAAAAAGAAAGGTTTTAGCAATAAATCCATAACATCAGTGCTTGAGATGCTGCATAGAAATCCAGCATGCACAGCAAAAAGGGTTGTTTTTGTCTTTTAAAAATCTAAACTTTTCAAATCCAATAGTCTGAATGCTATAGGTATTTTAATTTAGATGCCCAGGCTATGAAGATTTGGATGATAGCCTAAATACTCCTTTCCAACTCCATAAATCTGTGATCTTAAGGTACTAAATTCAGCCTATGATAAAGCTGTTGTCAGGAGCTCCAGAATCAACTCCTTATTATGATTTTTTTTTGCTGGCCCATCTAATCAGAGCTGTTTTGAGAATATAGCACGGAGAAGATAACTCTCCGTTAAGCTCCTCAATGAATATTTACATTTCCTGAAATAAAAGAGTAATTATTAATTTTATAATAGTTTTATATTGCCCGTTCACTTTTGTCTACTTGCAGTGTGTATAAAATATAAATATATATAAAGAGTAGAATACTAGAGATCAAATACAGAAACCAAAGTTTTCACCACTTGCAGAATACTACAGACTGCCAGGCAAATCCTGGAGGCTTGGATCTCAAAGCATGGGAAACACCACCAAGAATGGCTACCTCCAAGCAAGTTCCTTGAATTCTCATAAGAATGAGATATTTATAAGGATGGGATCCCTGGACACATGCATAAACTGGGAAGATTTTACCCAGAAGAGACAATCTCTATGTATGCTTGAAGTCTTTAAGTGTAAGGCTTTAAAGGTCAAAACAAGAATACTGAATTGGATGCCCAGAGGTCTTTTAGTAACCAATTCAGTGTATTAAGTATAGGTGCAATACTAACATAATAGCAATCTGCAGTCTAATCACTGCATTCTGCACCAACCAAAGCTTCCAAAGACAACAAGAGCTGTAAATCCAGAAGGACCCAATTTAGGAATCAGTTCTTTAGGGAGAGGATGAGTCTATCCATGGTTATAGTTAGAACCAATAGAATGGTTCTGTGTTTTGGACAAACAGCATTCAATTTAATTTTAGTCTGATCTTGCTTCTCCCCATCCAGACCTTCATGACACTAAGACAGTAAGTTACAGTCTTGCTCAGCAGCTTTAAAAAAGTTATAAATGTGACAGTGATGGTTCTTCTCCATTTCAGCCGATCATCAATATACTGTAGAATATACACATACTGTAGATTGTTTTCTGACTTCAGATATAAACGTATTTTCAAAAAAATCAAAACTAAACTCACAATTTATATTATAGGAAGATGGACAGTGACATTTTCTGTGATGTGTGACAAAGTTCTTCACGCTGTGAGAAGCTTTGCATGCGTCACCTCTCCCAACACATCTGTGATAATCAGCATATCCCCTTTTAATTGCATGCTGGTTTGACTTCCTTGGAGGAACATTCTAATTTTATGTGCAGTTCCTTTCTTCAAAATGTAAATACTACTTTCTGTTCACCCATCAGTTGTGTGCAATTTTTTTCTTGCATTATCTAGGTTATTTCCTTTGGCATTTTGCTAATTCTACTGATTGGCTGGAGTGATTTATATGTAAATTCACCAAGCCAAACTTCTTGGATGTATATTTTCATACTTAAACTTGGTTTTAGGAATTCTCAGGTGTGTTAGATACAGATAATACTGTGTGCTGACACTTCCTCTTTCTCCCACACCAAACATCAAAAAGGGGTGTTGATCTTAAAAAAAGATGTGGCTCCCTTTCTTGGCTCCCTATGATGGATAATCTTGGTCCTTATCCTCTCCCTCTCCCCTCCCTCCCCTTCACCTATAGTAATCCCAGCCACTCAGGCATCATATAGATATTATTCTGTCACTTCCAAGAAGTAGATTATGTGCCAATCTGAAGTGATGATTTAAGAAGGCATTAAGAGTCATGGATATTTTGATACGGAAGAGCATCTAAGCATTCTGAATGGTACATTTCTAGAAAAATGGAGCACATGGCTTTCAAAACTACTGAATTTGTTCCAAATGAGACAAATGTACTTGTAAGAACTGCTGAATTATAAAACCTGGTGCTCCTAAACATTGGCTATGCTAGCCAAGGACATTTGGACTTAAGAGTTCAACAAAATTTTGGGGGATTGCATGCTCTTGTTTTATACTACACAAAGCATTGGTGAAGAGGGAAGGCAAAGAAATAGTTAAGTTTCACTCAATATATTCTTATAGCTTGTTCTTGGCATTAACTAGAGAACTATGTGGCATAAACTATGTCATTTTGTTTCGATTTCTTTAAAACCCTGCATCTTTTGCTTCTCTTTATTGCTCCTCTCATCAGAATTACTGTTTAAGACCACTATTATATTAGCCTACTGTATTTTTAAGGTGCCTTTTGTTAGAGGCAAGCTGCTTTAATTTATTTCATGATTAAAAGTTTTTATCAGACCCAACCAGAAAGTTAGTTGTTGAAGCACAGTGCCTCAGCCGTCATATGGAAGAAGTAGGTTTCCAAATCAATGTTTACCTGACAGTGTCTGCAGCAGTAATAGCAATTAGAGGAAGAGTTCTCAGTGGAAGGTTGGTGGGCCTCTGCACCATCTCTGGATCAGTCTTTTTCTCCCAGTCTACCTGCTCCAGCTGTCTAAATGCCAAAGGAGGAAGCTGGAGGTTACGACAGGATAATCTCCTAACACGATACTGGTCCGTTCCTTGGAGAACCGCTTCTTCTTCATTTTGATGGTACAGTGTTTCTTCTGATGCCTACAATGACAAAGATTATTTGAATAAGTCTCTGTCACAAAATTGTTCCAAATTATATGTAAATCCTTGTATTTTAGTTTTTTTAAAAAAAATATGAAAAAGGAAAAAGTAGAACCTGATTCTTTTCATCCTGAGTTGTCCTTGCTGTTCTCTGAACTTGGTTTTTTTTTTTTTTTTTTGCAGATGTTTCCTTACCCAAACTAGTCAACAGGAGGGTACCTCAGAGAGCACCAAGCACCCATCATTTCAACCTGAGCTACAAATATTCTCCTTGATCTTTTCATACATTTTGGCGGTGCTGGAGAATTTACTATAGAATATATTTGCTTACATTAAGCAATTATATTAAGCACAGTACACAGTCTGAAAGTGTTCTCAGGAGCCTCCTTCAACCAAACTCTGAAACTCAGCAATAGAGTACTAAGAATCAATAGCATGGTTTCCAATTTTAAGAGTAATGTCAATGTTTTAAGCTTTAGACATGGATTTAAAACATTAAAATAACCTTGAATAATGCTAAAGGCATGTGAAAACAAGGAAGAAAAAAATCTAATTTCCGCGCCGCTCACTTGTAAAATGAAATTTCATTGATTGTGCCTCTAGGGCATCAAAACAAGGAAGGCAGAATGTGGGTCCCAACTATAGAAAGTAGCCTGGCTTTCCTTTTAGAGAATTGTTGCATAAAAGCTTAAGGAGACTTTCATAATAACATTTGGGTACTTCCCAACTTTTTGGCAAAAACAGTTTTGCTATAGCTGGGGTAGAAGGCACAACAACTTTTTAAAGCATTACTACTGGTGCTGTGATTCAATAGTTCATAGGTTCGTAATTGTTAATGGATCTAACTTTTTTTTTTCTCATTTTGATGCAAGTACTCCTTCCAGATCAAATTATGGCTACAACCCATAATTTGGAAGTAACAAAGACTGACTGTTTAATTTAAAACATTCAAGCCCTTTTAATAACAGGTTTTGTCAGAGTCCTGCAAAAAATAATAATCAGAAAGCAACTCATAGCACCTTTTCTAGTTAACAAATCTTATTAAAAGGAAAAGACTGATGTATCAGAATGTGACTTTCCATCTATGCTGTGAGATGGAAGGACTCATATATACCAACACTGGAAGAACGGGTGGTAAAATTAACAGAGTTGGAGGAGATGTTGAAACTGACTGCTTTGATTAAACAAAAGACTTTGTCTAGCTTCGTTTCTTCGACCTGAGAGCCACTATTGAATTTTTTTTGCTTGAAACTTAAAGAAATGAAAATGTAATCTTGGGTTTTGATGACTAGACTGGCTTATGATGATAGAAATACTGTTTGTTACAGCTTATTCTAGTTCAAAGGGGAATTGATTCTTAGGTTTTTATGTGTACTGAAGAACATTGGAAGTTACTTTTTTCTATAGCTTTTTGCCTGCATTCCCCAATTTTGCTTTTTTTCTACCTACCCTTTCCCCCTTTTCTTTTAAATTCTTTTTACTTTGCTCTTTTGTATTTATACTTTTCTGAAGTTTTATTTTTTTAAAAAAAAGAGAGAGAGAAACACTGCCCTACTTCCCCAGATGCATAGAGTGACTCAATTAATGTACAATTTGAAAAGGGAGTAAGATGGGGAGAGCAGAGCAGAAAGGGAAGTTTATGCAGATGCAGACTTTTGTCCCAGTTTTTTAATGTACAACTCAAGGCAGTAAACATACCTAATACTCCTTCCTCTTCTGGTTTTCCCGATAACGTCAACCCTATGAAGTAAACTGGGCTGAATGACTGACCCAAAATCACCCAGCTATTTTTTTTCCAATATTACATACTTCAAGATTGTAACTTAATAAATATAATATAATAATACAATATGGTATAATATTATAATACATTATAATTATATTAGTACATTACATTATTGTGTTGTGTTATATTATTATATTGTTGTATTATTACTGCAATAATATAGCTTGCCTTGCCAGTGTTGATTCAGCCCTATCAGGTAGACCAGACAGGAAACAGATAAACTAATTTTACTTTATTGTAAAGCTACATTAACAGAACCTTGCAAGTCTGAATGTATAATTCTCTTACTATCACCTATACAGCCCGAGAACTTAGGGAGGGCCCCTTCTGAGCAGTTTGCTCTGCCCACTATGAAGCTGTGAGTACGCGATCTTACCTGACTACTTCCTACTCAGCATCTGTTCGCTCCATCTCCCAGGGTCTTTCCTATATATCATTACAGCTATCTTTGTATTTTCTGTATTTGCTGAGTGCAAATAATTTGAAATCTATTTTATTTTTCTGGAAATCAAATTAAAAAATGAATAATTGGAAATTTAGATTTAAGCTAAATTTGTAAAGTTAGTTGAGACTAGGGCTGTTTGGTTTATTAAAACTAATATACGAGGAAGAAAACATTTGCTCTGGAAATCAGAACATTGTTTCTTTCGTTTCCTAAATAAATCTGTCCTTCACAGAATTCTGACAAACTTGTTATTTTTAAAATAAATTAATGACTTGATCCCTCTATTTTCTTCAGCATAAAAAGAGTCTAAAGAGATTCTGAAGAAGTTTAATTATAATCTAAGTTGTCATCGCAATAAATGGAGTAGATCAGGATATTATAAAAATTAAGTATGTTTTTACTATCATTCCTAATCAATATTTTGAAATTTCATTGTAAAATACAAACAGGTATAAAACACATTTCAATTTCTTAAGAAAACTGCAGTCTTCCTTAAGAATACTAGGAAGAGGAATGATGCTTTTGAACTTGGTGTGGGAGAAGTCTTTTGAGGATACCATGAACAGCCAAAAAACAAACAAATGGATCATTAAACAAATCAACCCCAAGTTCTGACTAGAACTTAACCTGGCTCAAATTACAGTGTCCTACTTTGGACACATGATGTGAAAGCCTAGCTCTCTAGAAAAGGCTTTATTAATGGAAAGATGGAAAGAAAGAGAAGAAAAGGATGACCAATAGCAAAGTGACTAGACTCAGTTAAAGCAGAAACAGGTATACAATTGGCAAACCTGAAAGATCAGGTCAGGGACAGATTGTCACAGAAAAGATTTATTGGTATCAAGAGCCAGCAATGACTTGATGGTACATAATCAAAAAGAACCTTACACATAGTAGTGGTTCAAATGTACCAGGTAAATATTGATTGAAATAAAATTGCCACAAAACTCTCCAAAATGATGTCACTTAAAGATTATTTATCTCCCAGTTATGTTTTTAGTATGCTGCATAAATGAAAATAAATAAAATGATGCTCTAAGGCAGTGGTTCTCAACGTTTGTGTGACGGCGACCCCCGTCACACAAACGTGCCGCACATGCGCGGTGCCGCCCCCATGCGTGGCGGCGCCCCCATGCACGGCACGCATGCGCGGGGCTGCCCCCACGCGCAGCGCGCATGCGCAGCGCCGCCCCCTGAGGGGGAAAAATGGCGGATCGCCTTGTTTGGCGACCCCCGAGAAATGGTCGATCGACCCCAAATGGGGTCGCGACCCATAGGTTGAGAACCGCTGCTCTAAGGTATTACAACTGGTCCCTTGGAGACCCCTTAGTCATAGAGGTTGCAAATGACAGCATGTGCTAGGAACCACTCTTCTTTTTACAATTGCTAATTAAAACGTATTTCTAAAATCATCAAAATAAACTAATATACTAAAGAATTCACAGGAATAGATGGCATCCTTGGAAATTACTTTGACATAATTATTGTTCATTTAGACGAGGTTTATTTTACCAGCAATATTATGAATAAATGAGTCACAATCTGAAGCCCATATCAAGGCCCATGATGGCTAAATTAGTTGACTCATTCTCTAGAAATAAAGCTGAAATAAGAGAATTTCCTCCTGCATAAGAAACTTCAACTACTGCACTGTGGAGTAAACAAATTAGCATTTGAACTGAAAGGATCTCCATACAGCAACACACTAGTAGTAGACAATGTAAGAGGAGGAAGTATATCAGAAATCTGCTTGCACTTTTTCCAACCAATACATTTAATTAAAAGGCATAAATGCTGGTGGAGAAAAATTACTCAAAATGGCAAATTTTCTTCCACACTATAATTCTGTTGCATGAAATGAACCATTTTTTCTTATGTCTTCTTCAGGTTTATGATATAGATATTGATAAAGTGGGAAGAATGCTGATATACAGAATGAATCTCTCTCCCAATAAATACAAGGAATAAGAATATCTTTCCATCTACTGAACTGAGATTTAACTTTCAATGCAACTTTGCAAGGAATTCTCACAGGAAGGAACAATCTACCACTTTTACTTGCATACCTAACACCTGCCTAATATATGGACATTCTCCAGTGGGGGGATTCAGCCAGTTCGCACCAGTTCAGGAGAATGGGTAGCTAAATCTACCTAAATTTGGAGAACCGGCTGGCTTCTGGAAGTCCAGTCTAGGCCTCGGAGGCCTCCTAGGCCTAGAAGGAACCACCAGAAGTGCATGGATACCACTTCCGGAACTCCGTTCTAGGCCTGGAGGAGGCACCGGAGGCCTGGAGGCCTCCCAGGCCTAGAACGGCCCACCAGAAGTGCATGATGCCACTTCCGGAAGTCTGTTCTAGGCATTGGAGGCCCAGGCCTGCATCACATAACAGAATCGGTTGTTCAGGTATTTGAATCCCACCACTGACATTCTCCATATATTAGCATTCTACATACCAGATAGCACTACGGAATATCTTTTTCCTCTGAATTAATGTTAGGCAAGGGACAAGATGGAAATCACAATAATTTAGTAGATGAAATATCACATTTTATCAGTTTGAACGACACAGCTGGCCTTACATTCTATGAATTGGTTTGTTGATAAAAAGCAATAAGTGGTGTTTGCTTACATAACTTCCCACTGAGACTTACTTTCTTTGTTTCACACTGCTGTTATGATCCATGACAGCTGGAAAGTTGATCTTTCCCAAACATTAAAAAATAAAAACAAATCACAGCCATTCATTAACTGCAAAGAGAATTGTTT